TATATATTGTGTATTTTTCCAGCAAATGGATTAAAATTCGCTTTTGATGTGAAAACGACTTTAAATATCAGCGACATTACTTTCTATCCATCACAAACCACACATAGTTATGACATATATGCTTCATCGATAGACAAAGAAGATATCCTATTTCTAGATTTAACTACCGGTGAGATAATCTTTTCCTTTTCTTCGAATAATTATTTTAAATTATAAAATTCTATCATATATTACCTGAAAAGTAATTTAAAATATATAATTTTATTATACATTAATCCTTTGGTCTTGATATCTTGATATTTTTATTGACAAAAAATATATATCTAAATTAATTAAAATATTTCTCTCTTATTAAAATTTTGCTCATTTTTTTCAAAAAACATTTTATAGATACATCTTATTTAAATATATTTTTCTTGAAACTTTATTATATTTGATCTTCAAAAATTTCTTGCAAGATAAACATTTCCAAACGTGAAAACTACGAAACAGAAACTAACACATTTGTCTTTGTAGGGAAAGTGGAAATGATAACAGGTGTGGGAAAGGCAACACCACCACATCTCACCAAATGGGGTAATCCGAATAGACCGATAATACAAAGTGGTATATTTGGTCGATATATGGTAAGCCCTTCTAACCAGGCGCTCTTTGTTCTCAACGGGGAGACTCGTACGGTGAATTGTGAGATTGGTGGCCTTATACATCCCGGCGCGATTGTTTGGTTCACTGTTTCGCTGCGTTAATGAATGTAGCTTCGTGACGACGACAATACGAGACGTACGTATATAAATTGAACATAGGAATCCGAGCGAGTACCAAAGCCAGTATACCGAGAAAACTTAGATGGAATTAAAGATAACATAGAAAAATAAATTATGCGATAAATGTCTTCATCTTCTCTAGAGAGTTATTTTTAAATATCGAACTTTTACATATTTTTGCATTATGAAATTAAAGCTTGCATATCGTTATCGTGAAGAAAGTTTCACTATTCGGATGACAGATTTTTAGAATTGAGATAGTTAATAAAAACTATAAATTATTATCAATACATATCAAATGACTGCCAAATATTGTTTATTTAAACACTATCTCTTTGCTCGATTAACAATCGTAATACCGGGAATTTAAACTAATATATTTTCAATAAAATCAGATTTTAATGCCATAAATATTTATATATAAAAATGATTTCCATGCGATGATTAAAAAAACAATAATTGATGTAAAATATCTAATCATTGAAAAATGGAAAATCACAAATTATGCCTATTTCATCTCTTCCTTGGACATGATAAATTTATTTTGAAAATACTTATCTAGAAAAGATGAAGAAATTATGTAACGTTGAGTGTATGAGAATAACGAGCGATGAAAAACGACGAAAAGATGGCTATAATAGAAAAATAAATATGATTGAAATAAATAAGCTACTTAAATTGTAGCATTAAGTGCGCATGTTGAATAGGGCAGATGCACCAGTGAGAGTAATCGCTTAAGAACGGACGAATACTCTTATAAATAATTTCAAGTTTTTTTTTCTACAAGTACAAATTATTTCGTCATATTTAATTATCTCTTATATAGACATCATATAAAACAATTTTAAATTTTAGAATTCTAAATACTAATAACATAAAAAATGACTGTTGATATTAATAACGAAGAAGAGTAAATTATTAGAATAAATAACTGCTTTAATCCGTAATTGTATAATAATTATTATATATCTGTACACAAAAATGAATATTACACGTTCTCAGTTTTAGAAAAAAATATATCTAGATTATATACACTTTATATACCACAAAATTAATAATATAATGTGTGGTTATTTAGCGCTACAAGATCATTCGCTGATACACCTACCCTACAACAAACTATCCGAATTCAGCTGAATGTATTACTGCGCATAAATTAATGTAAAATTACAACATATGAGTCGTTGTTTAGCATAAATTATATTATTTGACAAAATAATAATGTTCAAGATTGAATAAGAAACATTTTTCTTTTATTTGTAGAGATTTAAATGAGACTTTTGACAACCATTGCTTATGTTTCTGTATCATAGTTGCTTTAATTATAACTTTTTCATTAGCTGTATGAAATCTGTTTATCTCGTTGTGCTCTTCTTCTTTATGAATTCAACTTCTTCGATTTAGAAGTTGAATTCTGTCGATCACTAAACTGTTCTATATTATCAATCTTCAATTACTCTGTGTTACCGATCATTGGTACTTTATACACAAATTATCAAATTTATAGAATGTTAATTATTATAAATTTCGCGGAGTTTTAATAACATACTATTGCTGAGACCATTAGTATTGAAACGATATATATTCTAAAATCAAATAAAAATAGAAGGAAACTGGCAGAATATTAAATGAAAGTTTATATATTTTATTATTTCTAGATATTTCATTTGTATTTTGATTTTTTCATTTTTACGTGATCTTAATATGCGCTATTAGTGCATCCAAACGAATTCGCTACAAAGAGGCCAGAACTGCTAAATTCTGAAGAAATCCCTATAATATTGTATGCACGATGATAAGCATTCTTTTATACTATAGAATATATATCAATAAACTTCGAGTCGATTTCTCACACATTTGACAAATAGAAATGTTTGAAAATCGATTCTAATTGCATATGCGTCATCAAGTTACAACGTAGTATGTTATAACAATTTATAGCAATTTGAAAATGTGCGTGAAACAGTATTACATTGATACCGCTAACACGAGCGCGACAAACTGCGATTAGTGTCTTGTAATAAAATTGCGATATACATATACCTAATTTAATAAATAACCCATGAACGTAATTGCGTTTCATAAATTGTGTATATTCTGCTTCACTTTACAATCCTTCCATTTTCTCACTTTGATAACGGAGTATCGAATAAGCGCAACATTTTTTTATTGATAAGCGTATATTCTCCCATTCCTCTGCTCAGATAAAGAAAGCCTGGCGAAACATGATGCTCCACCAGTTAGTGAGAATGGTAATTTAGGTTTGATTTCAAGTATGACACGTTCACCTTTATTCACTAATAAATTAGGTGTTTAGAATCCTCGAGTTCTACATTTAACTGTCTACTGTACAAATTCGACATACGCTTACAATGTATGCAGTACAAACATTTTCAGTTCTCAGTATCCGCGAAATAGGGTCAGGCTTAAATTGCGCTAGAACGCCAAAGTACCGTTGCGAAAACATAGTTATTCTTCATCGAAAAATCGCATAACAATCACGAAAACACGGCGACAGCTATCAATATTTCACATAATTGAGCGCAAATCTGCGCGTGTATAAAATACGCATTTCATTGCACTTTTAAAAGATAATCCTAGCAGAGGCAGGAGAGAGGAAGATGGATGTGCGGGGGAGACAGAAGCGCAATAAAATAAAGGAAAAATTGCAACGTATAAAGTATGCGAATAAATCTTCGCAGTGTATACATGTGGAAGAACGCAAATATCAATCTCGCTTCCGTCACACTCCATCCTTTTACTACCAGCCCCATTTGTTCCTTTTTTTTTTTGACTGAACAACTTGTTCTATAGGCTACCAAGATAAACACACCACTTGTTATATATTGCACGGTTTCAAATTGGTCCCTTGTCGACTATAAAACAATATGTATGCATTACTGAAATCCTCGTCTTGCGGTTTTTGTCTGCTTGTAATTTCGTCGTTGTAATAATACCACACGTCCGTACGAGGATTTTTTGCATACGCTGTATAATGACCCGCAGACACGCCTAAAATTGCATTTGACAAAAACATTCATTAATTTTATGTTTGATACACGTTTTAATCATTTTTCAAAGGATATTTATCAAAGGAATTTAATTTTAGATGTAAAAATGTAGGAATTAATAATTACTTAAAAAGATTTTAAAATTTCAATAAATTTACATACCTCCAAAGTGGCACACGCAGGCATAGAGATCATAAAGGTGGCGTCCTACACTTAGACCCACCAAAGGGAATGTGACTTTATCGTCTAACTTCATACTTGCGCATTCATAAAACACAAATCTATAATCAAAAATATGTATTTTATATATTCATGATATATAAAACACGTTTAATATTTATCGATTTGGAATAGTTTCGTAACACATGACTACAAATCTTACATACCGTTTAAGATATACAATAAGAAATTTAGGGTATCGATGTACCGTAAGTGTTTTCGTAGCACATTGATTACATCCACATTTCGGACAAAACCAAGGGTTATGTTCATCTAAAGTTTCGCTAAAAAAATATATTAAAAATGATATAAAACGTATGTAATATCAATAATATTAGCAATTAAAATTAACTAACATGTATAAAGCATTAGCTTATTTATTACACTCAAAAATGTTTCGAAAAAGATTCATAAAAATCAATTACCTTTGACTAAATGCTTGAAGGCAATCATAAAGAGATAGTGGATGATGCGGTCGTTGCTTGGTAATGCTAACATGATCGATGGGATGCAAAATCTTAGGAACATATTCGGTATAACGAACCGCAAGTGTATCACCATTCTGTAACGCAACCATTCCGGTCTCAGGTACGCTACATCCTGTACAATGCGCCGTGTACATACATCGTGAACAATGATGACCCTGTAAGAAAAATTATTTTGATATATAATTATTAGACTTGTATTAAAATATTTAAACATGTTAGCAATTATATATTATTTCGACTACTTTTTTTGAAGTAATTGTTTCATTGACAAAATATATCTCTAACTTTCATTTAAAAAAAATTTAATACAATTATATACAAATTGAATCTATCACCTGATATACACAGTACAAATAATTTTTTTTTTTTAGATTAATAAAACTGCTGCAAAAAGTTATACATCTTGTATAAAATAAAATTTTCACCTGTCCATCAACAAAATGAACTGTGTAGTGTCCTTCGTGAGGCACATTCTTCTTGATAATGTCGTATAAATCCCGTGCGTTTACTCTCGATGGGAGTCGTATTAAGTGTGGATAACCGAAAAGCTTTGTACTTTTGCGGTTGTTTGTTGTCTCATTCGTCGTGTCATGCCTCAACACCAAAGGTACACTCAGAATACGTACGGTGGGCCTCGGTCGACCAGTTTGGTCTATTTTCGTAAACGACGACGCTGTCATATATGTAGAACACATCGGGCACATTTGAGGTTCCGTTTGATTCTTGAAGTAATTCTGTGGAGTAATATAAAAACTTGGGCTTTGTTTCAATTCGCGCAACAATCTCATATGATAACAAAAACTTTATTTTCGCTAAAATAAAGCGAAATTCAATCGATAGTAAAAAATAGCACCCTCAGATTGAACGGCAGTATCAGATTAGTCTGAATTGAGTTCTAGGTTGAATTAACCCAGCTTGTGGATTATACTAAAAATGCGGATTATATAAGATTCCATCTTCACGTTTCCAATCGCCTCTGCTTTTAAAAAAGCATCCCTGGCATTTTGGAGAACGCAAAGCTCTTTCTGGTTCTCATACGTATCATTATGATACCGTCCGGCTAGAACGTTTGATAATCTTATCTCAGACCTTCCCGAGGTGAATTGTGACAATGTATGCCTCGTTCGTACACCCCTTCCACTAGATTGACACTGCCGTTTTTTGTCATCATTGGTGATCACAATTTTAATCAAATGATAAAAAATTAGATTTCTAATTTTTGTAATATGTAAACACGAAACATTGCATTAAAATTTCCTTCGTTATACTTGAATAATATAACAAACTCTCACCTCGATACACGGATCACACATAATAAAGTTACAGCTATTTCCACTGTGCCTCTTCAAATCGCCATCCAACTCCTCAAGACATATCATACACGGCACTTCCTCGCCCGTAACAGTACATCTTTGGCAAGAGTCCATTTCCGCTGGGCGATCCCCACCGCCATCAGACACTGAAGTGTATGCATCGGGAGGTTCCGTGAGTTCGAAGGCGTATATCGAGCGATTCGTATCATTGACGTGTCTCAAGAGTGTATTGTCGTCCTTAAATTTAAAACCTTGATGTAGAATCCAACAGAGTGATGTTTCCGCCTAAGTACGATAAGCTACAGCAAGCAAGTAATTCCCGAAACCTACGGTGCAAGGGGAAAATAATATAGTCAAAAAGCAACAACGATAAGAGACCGGCAGCGTTGGCGAAATTATAACAAAGAGAGAAGAGGAAAGAGAAAGAGAAAGAGAGAGAGAGAGAGAGATATGAATAAAAGACAAAGAGAAAAGTTGATGAGCCTGTATGATGAAATGTAGCCCCGTAACTATATTTTCACGCTACGAGAGTGTTCTTCCATAAAATTTTTCTAGGAGAGCAGTATCGGCAATAATCGAGTCTAATCGATATACCACCTTCTTAACTCTCCAATTATTTCCTAACGACGTGTTATTTCTTAACTTGTATAAAGCTCAATTGCAAAGCAATAATTAAAACCTAGAGATTGCATTTATTTGTTCTTACCAGAATTATAATTTAAATAAGGATAGTCACAGACCAATACGAGCCGGTAAACACAGATATTCTCCTACCTGTGATACATCCACAGTGATTAGTATTGGGATATTTCCACCTTTATTCTTGGATCACATACAAATATTGATTGTTGACTAAGTAACGATACAATTTATATCTTGAAAATAACTAGCTGTACTGGCTTGACTATCTTTATTTAGATGTTTTCAAACACGCGCAAATATAAATTCGCAAATTATTCTCTATATAGTTAAAAATGCTTTTTATATTATAAATTATCAAAATTATTAATTCATTAATTTTCAAAATTATTAATATAAATTAGAAATTATAAATTTCTTATAAAATATTGTTGTTATTGAAAATCTTTAAATATATATACAATACAGCAATTAAATAAAATTGCTATCTGTTGGTAAATATTATAATTTGCACGATATTGTTAAGTATATTTACAAAGCGAGTAATCACACACACACACAC